GACTTAATTGAATCATTGTGGGACGCTACAATATCGAAACCCAAGCGGAATATAACTTGTAATTTAATACGTAGCCAGGACTGGAATCCAGAGAATTAATGAGGGGATATTCAGCTTGAATTCAGTTTGAAATTGACCAGAATTATGCCGTGTGTGACGTCACCTTTTCCACTCATGAATATACAAGTTCCACGTTCTTTACAATTGTGTTTATGCTGTCCTATCACGCGCTGTTATGGAAATGTTGAACACGTCAGATAACAGACAGGAATTTTATTATGGGATATTTAGAAACTTCTATTGAATTGTGTGTTATCGATTTACAATTTCCCCCAGCGATTGATGTTGACTTAAAAGGTTAATTTTTAAGCGTTGTTATTATTGCCAGATAAATTCGAAGAGCTTTTCCAGCTGCATATTATATTTTTTCATAGTGTGTACAATGTAAAATATGATTGTTAAAACAAGATGTTTCCTAACTATAGTACAAAAAGTATTTCTCCCGGGGTTGCTTCGTTTCATCAAGGCTCTACCTAAACTGCAGTTTGGGTAGGAACTATTGGTGACTACTCAATTGGCCTTTTTTTTATTAGCAAGATTAACAGTCGAATTCTACATAAACTATCTGCGAAATTTTTTATACATATTATTAGAGAAAGTACTTGTGACAGTCATTATGTGGTTTATGCACGACGAGGTACAGCTCAGCCTTCTTCTCGTCACCATCTCGACATCACATATTCTAATCGCTGGATTGCATAACTTTAAAATTGGACTGCTCGCAGTCCTGATATGAATCCTCTAGATTTCTATGTATGGAATCATCCTGACGCTCTTGTTCAAAAAACTCCTGTATCAAGGAACACTCCAGGTATTTTCAACGTGCTAGATAATTGATGATGAATCGATTGCAGTCGTACATTTCATCGGTAGGTGGACCTTTCGATTATTAACTTCGAAGTTGAAATTGTTCATTTTTATTTTATGTTGTCCATGGAGTGTTTTCATAATGAGTTGAAGTAACTTTCATTTTCTGTCTCGAAAACGAAGCTAGGTATGAACAAAACACAGGAGACCAAAACGTTGTTTTTTCTGTTGCTCTATCTAAAAAAATGAGAAACTACAAAAAATAAGAGAGTAGCGTACTTTTTTCTCAATATCATTTTCTGCGACGCCACTGGACGCCAATAATTTCAATCTGGTTGTGGCTAAATGAGCTTCTAATCACCTCAAATAACTAGTTAATTTCAACCACATATGTTCAAGGATATTAATGATCTTATCTGTAGAGTAGGGAGGGTGAGTGTAAACCCACAGCACTTAGGCTACATGTGACGCATAGTACATCCTCCCGAGGGGTTGTCCTCCTAGGTCATCGTCCATTCTGACATTTTCAGGAAGGTGGACAGGTCACTAGGAGGTATCTCCTTTATATCGGCAGGTGGAGACCAAGACTAGCTGAACACACACTCTCTTTGGCAAACTTGAGGTGTGTCACGGCGACCATCGTGAAGTTTTTGGAAGGTGCAGCGAAATTACTGTCGTTGTGCGGCTTCTTCCACCTTCTTGAGATTCCCTCCTTGGAGATGCTCAAGTAAGGGTGCTTTTCTGCAAGGCAGCCTGTTCCTTGCCTTTATTCAAGGCGAAGCTCTTGGCACCCGCCGCAGGAAATGTTTCTGCTGTTGAAGGTAGAGTGGAGGAGGAAGATGGTGCACTTATAGTTGCTGCCACTCCTGCCTCTATTGTTCTCTTTCTTCTTTTGGCCTCGGCGCCGCAAATGCGCTTACGCCTTGGCCTTTGTATTATATCACTAGGTGATCTGCCATGTTCAGCCTCATTCCAAGTGGTGGACTGGGGTGGACATTTCTGTTTATCTCCAGCCACTGCCATAGATTGAGGTGAGCATTTATGTCCAGCTTCGGGATTCGCTTTTGTTCTTTCTGCGTCTATTTCTGTATTTGTTTCATTCATCCGTGTTTCCACGAGTAGCAGGGGTCACTCTGGCAGAGCCCCGCATTAATAGAGGAAGGCTGATTACAATGAGGTTTCACTCAGTTCCCCAAGGGGATTGTTCGTGACCGCATATCACCCTGCGGCCATTCAGCGATTGGCACGATTCCTTACACCTTAGCTTGGGTAGGCTGGTCTTGGTGGCATGTTTCGCAAAGGCTTTTGAAGAGTTTTGGTTCTCCCCACCCACGATATACAATTCCATAGCATCCATAGCATACATTCCTAAAGTTCATAAACCTACCTTATCCATGCGGCTAATTGTATCTTCCATTGATGCACCTAACTCAAAATTTCTAACGAATATTTTAACAACTTCCTATAAAACAGAGAATCCTTATTATATTGAAGATTCTCTTTCATTAAGTGAATTTATAAATAATGTTCAGCTTCCTCAAAATTATGTTTTGATGAGTCTAGATGTTGTTTCACTTTTCACAAACCTACCGTTAAAAGTAGTGAAACAAACTTTGAACAAACATTGGTCTAACATTGAAGAACATTGTGAATTAGACAAAATTACATTCATGAATATTTTATATTTTATTTTTGATTCAACATATTTTATATTTGAAGACAAATTTTATGAACAAATATTTGGCACACCTATGGGTTCCACCATTTCACCAATTTTATCAAGTTTTGTTTTAGATGAGCTTATTGATGAATGTATTCAAAAATTATCTTTCCTTATTCCATTCATCAAACGTTTTGTAGATGATTTGATTCTGACCATAACTGCAGATGGAAAAGAAGAAATTTTGAACGTTTTTGATCCATATGATCTTAATATCCAATTCACTATTGAAGAGGAAATAAACAACTCTATCCCTTTCTTCGATATGAAGTTATTGAGATCAGAACAAAATATTATCATCACTGAATGGTACAGAAAACCAACACCAAGTAATAGATTTATTAATTACCATTCCTATCATCCAAATAAAATGAAAATTTTTATCAACTGTCATTATTTCATGTTTTTCTATCTGTTTCTAAACCTTTTTGTATTTTATTCTCACGTTATCTCAAGTTCTCCATATTTATATATTTTTTACAAGATATAAAATCTTATTATTGTAGTTGTCCTGACGAAGGTGTGAAATATACCGAAAGCTTGACATATAACAAAGAGTTTTCTTTGTAACAGCCTAGCTATTGACTGCAAATACCTATTGGTTGTGACAACCAATTCACAACCAATAGGTGGTTCCACTTATGTTTCGCTTGCGTTTACGCAGCTATTTTTATCAAGTACTTTCTTGGTTTTTTCTCATTTTGTCTAAAAACGGTAGCAAAAATTAAAAGATTACAATAAAAAAAGACAGTTTAGAATAGTGGTGAAAGACAGAGAAGTATTTTTCTCCTTTCGTCAGTTGATACATTAAAACTCACAAGAAATATCCATCCTGAAATGGTAATCACAAACACCTGAAATCATTTCGAATAAGTAAATTTTCTGGATTCGCTTTTCATTTCAAAGATTACGTTAAGTTGCGAGAAATGTTGAAAGAGCGAGAGATATGATTTATTCATTTCGAATAACGATTTTTATTTGTCTCGAATACATTATTTCCAATGGAAAACTGTCACTATAATGATTTCAAATCATAAATCACGCGACCGTTCATATTTTATTGCATTTATTGCAAGATTTATTCGATATAGATATAGAAAAGTGCTGCTATTAGAGACTGTCATTTGTTTACCTCAGGATGGGATAAAATGATTTATCGCGTAAACTGTTCTTGATTTCTTTCTAATGGTAGAAAACGAAAGAGAATCATATCACCCCTCTCTGGAGCATTGTTTCATCGTTAGCAACAATGAAAATCAACACTCTTATAACAACATAGGCTTTCATGGCCGGAGTCGAAGGGAAACTAAAGTACCGAACGTTTCTTCTGCCACTGATGATGTCTGCCGCATTGGCAGACGAAACGTTTGTTACCTAAGGTTCTATTCGAACACAGCCTACCAGCCTATATTATGTTCTCTTCAATCGTATTAATGTGTTGTCGTTTCACGTTATATTTAATATAATTGATATTTCAACTAATTATTCTAATTTTATTTGTTCTTTTGACAATGGAAGTCCGAACTAATAAAATTCACCACGTATATTTCGTTCGTGAGGCTGTATACTTTTGACAAATAATCATTGCTAAACTTTCAACTCTATAAGTGGGTCTGTCATTCGTATTAATGAAGTTATTGATCCAAACCGTTGTACTTGCGATACACTTCGTTGTCTTCAGGGATAATTATGGAGGACTCAAATCGGGTGACTGAGGAGGCTTCTCAATTTGCAATTTAGTTCAAAGTGGAAGGGGTATATTTTTAGGAAAGATAAATTGTATCCACTGAAGATGGTCTGGAATATGACTTCAAAATATTTCTTTGGAGAGATTATTGTATCAAACATAGTGTAATTGAGGACACAAAAATAGATTTGAATGTTCCATTACGAATTCGTTTTTTTTTCAAAAAGAAAGGTTTTGGCTTTCGACTTCTCCATCTATAAACAAAAAAGGGGAAATCCTTGAAAGGAAAGAAGGAAGGAAGAAATCAATTTAAAAATATCAACTCTACACATTTTCTTGTATGAAAGGCAAAACCTTTTTTCCTGAAAAAAACATTGAAATCTATTATTGTATCCTCAATTACACTATGCTTGATTCTTGAATTGATCAGATTCAAACTTCGATGAGGCACTTGGAAAATTTGCTGACACTCACGTTAATTTTAATTGATATTGTATATAGTTTTCATTAACCTGCCTAGAATGTTGGAAATGTGGTTAGCTTAACACTATGTTTGATACAATTATCCCTTCAAATATATTTTAGTCGTGTTCCAGACCATCTTCAATGGATCCAAGAATGGACCTCCTCCCCCCACCTTGGAACTTTCGATGTAACTCCAACGCGGTCCAAGTTTTAATGTATTCCCATTCCGTCTCTTCACATGAGCCCCAGTGGTCTTCAGCCGCTCCAGGTGACTACAGTAGCCATAGAAACGTGAAAACGGGTCTGGAGGGAACAGTGCATGGCGCAAAATCAAAAAGATTTCGTTAATCTGCCATTGGCAATCTATTTATCCAAAGAGGCACATGTTGAAGCGGAATTGGAAGTGTTGTTTTATCGGTGACGGACTTGCTGTGAAGTGTTTTTGGTGGTGAATGATTTATACAGTGTGAGGCAAGAGTATTGTTTCAGCGTTGCTGAAAATCCGAATATTTTCAAAAGTTCATTGTTTTTATGACAAAATTCCTTTTTGAAATTCAGCTCATTCAGCTGAGGAGTGTGTTCCACGTTGAAGTAAGATTTCATCTCGTTGAATATCTGAAGTTTTGCAAATTTATATTCAAGTAACACTTGATTTTCTCCCAACTGTTCACGAAACCAGGACACGTGTTTCACTATACAATAGCTTCTTCATGTGCATTTATATTAACTGAATTCTACCTATTCAGTGCTTAATACAATTTAACAATTTGAATCATATGACCTTCAACTTTTCTAATCACTTATAATTTTACCTGAGTATTCGTATGAAGTAATTGAAAATTCAAACATCAGCAAAGATATTTTGCAAACTCATTAAAATGGACATGTAATGAATGAAGGTATAGTTCAAGTATAGTGCAACAAAAATATTTATAATAATATAAATAATAAATATTTCGTTTATATAGGTGAGTGGGAAAGTAGGGACTCCAATAACAGGTTGATAATTGAAAATACTTACTCACATATAAATTCAATCGATGGCTTCAAAAACATTCCACTAATTTTCTTCAAAAGCTTCTGATAATTCCTCTTTCATATTCTTTGTTTCACTATCACTGTCGTCATGTAAATCAATAATGAATTTATTTCCAACATTAATATAGTTTTTTTCAACTGAAATTACAGTTGTAGGAATCTCATTACTTTTGTAACAGTCGTATATTGTTTTTTATAATGATATTATCAGATGAATATCTAAAGGTTTTGGTAATCCTGTAACATCGCGTCTTGCGTTCATAATGTTTGTTTGTAACTATTTTACGTTCAGTTGAGAAAGGAATTTCTGTCAAATCTGATGTTGCTTGTAATATTTTGTTTCCCTCGAAACCAAACTTGAGATGTAGATTCTTATATACATTGAAACATACTCTCTGTGTTTCAATATTCAAATGCATCCGAATCTTATTCACTTATATCTCTTTTTCGCATTGTTCACCATCGCTATTGGAATCACTGCCCTGGAAAAAGCCTGCGTTATTATCACACTCGTTATTACTATTAGTACTTTTCCAAGGGCACCACATTTTAAACAGATAACAAAAATTTTAAGTAGTTATAACTGCATCAATATCGAAATTCAACACACAAATAGTGATCAGTTCCTTACCTGAACACGATATCTATTGATTTGAATTTGGACTATTCAGCCAATCATAAAACTCGGTTAGTAAAAATTATCCAAGTCCACAGTCTACGTGGACGAGTTCGCTGCCGGTTCATTTCTATGTATTGGTTTGTTGGCCTTTGAGAGTACACAGTACCGTTTATTTCGACTATACCTAAGTTCACGTATTACCGATTTCCACACTAGAAAAAAATGATAGAGGGGAAGTATTCAATTAGGTCATTCAGTAAATTTGAAGAACTCTCGAATCTACTGATTTTCAAGCATTCGAGAAGAGTGAGTCTCAAACCTCCCTCGTAACACGTCATAGTCATGATTGAACTCATGTCTGTCTGTCAAAAGATGGTTTTTCACATTCAAGAAATCACAAATATGCTCTTTTGATTTTTTGGAAAAGTTTCTCCTTGCTCAGCCAATGTGTAGTTTTGGGCAAGTACTACAAGTGAACTAAACCACTCCTGATTCAAATCCCAGAGCTTTATAGTGGCCAAATAACGGAAAAACTTTTTCTCAAAGAATTATAAGTCACTGAGTAGACTGATGTTATACATTTGAAAAATATTTGTATCATACAGAGCGTTTCAAAAGGACCATCTCAGTCTTCTTGAGATTGATCAACAGTGAGTGTTCCTTACACCGTGTTTATATAAATTTGAACCCATCCTGCGTTCTATCGTACAGTGTGTTCAAAAATTGGCCAGCCTACAAGACATCTATGTCATCTGCATATCCAATTGTGTAGAATCCATTATTGTTGAGGTGATTAATAAGGGTACTCAGAAATATGTTCTAAAGAAGGGGTGATAAGACCCCTCCCTGTTGACATCCCCCCATGACCAGTCCTCTCACTGAGATGTCTTCTACATTGATACTTTTTGCTCTACTAGAGAGCATCTTGAGTATCCATCTCCTACTACCAGAGATACATTCCTGGAGTTTAGTTGCTGGGTAATTATTGGAAAGGTTGTTTTATCAAACGCTCCCTCGTTATCTATGATTATACCCAGGATGGATTGTTTGTTGTCCAATGATCTTTCGATTTTGCCAACCACATGTTGTAGGGCCGAATCAGTAGACCTACCTGGAGTATATGCATGCTGATTTGGATGAAGTGGGTTATGAACTAGTACTTCATCTCTTGTGTACCGATCACATAGCCTCTCCATAGTTTTTAAAAAGAACGATGTGAGACTAATTGGTCAGAATCCTTTCGGTAAGGTATAGTTCATCCTACCGGGTTCGAACTTCACTCCACTTACTGGGAATATACCTCAGAGCTAGAGAGGCTCTGAATATTCCAACCAGGTGGAGCATAAGAATATCCAGTCCCCATTGAAGTAGGGCTGGTCTTATACCGTCAGGTCCTTGTGACTTGAAGGGGGAAAAGCCCGATATGGCCCATCTTATCTCGTACTTATCAATTACTGTTTGAAAAAAATCTGTTTAAAATCTGTTTTTCCGTTAATCAGCTGTCGCCCCCTACGAACTACAACTCTCAGAAGTTGAGAATCTTGTGCAAGCTAAGGACTAACGAGTTCTTACCTTTCAACGTGTGATTCCTACGGTTGCAGAATCATTCCAGCTTCAACCAGATACATTCTCTTGAGAAAAATATCTGGTCCAGGCGGGAATCTAACCCACGGTCTTCCGATGGTGAGTCGAGTGCACTACCACCACTTTCAATTCCACATCTGCAGTCGTATTGGGAGGGTGTTGTTGGTACTTCCGTCCAGGTCACTTCATGAAAGACTGAACCTGGGAAGCGCTCTCTTGGTTGGATGGATGCCGATACTCTTATGGTGTTCATATAACAGTGTCTTCTGTAGCCTAGAAGCTAGTGGGAAGTCTTCAACTGCCTCACAGTGGGCTTTCCAGACTTCTCTTTGCTTTTGTCTGCAGACTCTTTTGAACTCTCTTTCTTTTTGAACTGAAAGAATGTAAAAATCCTAGTAAATTTGAAGCAGACTCATAAGCATATATTATTCAACATAGCCACTTTCAAAACAAATTTTTCTAGGTAACACTGCTTGATTCTATTTCTCCCCTCCATTCACTCAACAGACTTGCATATCTGTTTTCACACTATTATAAATAAGATTAATGTTGGTGATACTGCGCCACAAGCCATTTTGGTTTAGGCAGAGGCACCAGCACAAATCATCTCGTTATATGTCTATAAATTTGTATACATGCATATTGTTAAAATTATATTCTCCACTGTAGGCAGATACGAAATGAATTGAATTGAATTGGACGCTGTTGCTCAAAATCTATTTTTTCAGATCAGTTTTGAATTTATCTGTGTTTCTTATAGTTTTTATTTCGTCGACGTCGAAGTTCTAGGTGAAGATATGTTTTTTGTAGAGTGATTTTTTTGTGACTTTGGGAGATATGATGTAGTAATTCTTTATATAAGTATTGAATTGAAAAAGGAAGTAATGCAAGTCATAAAATTATGAAACAACAAAAATTAATTGGCGCACCGGGGCGACTTCATTGTTTCCAGTGGCGCATTTGCTTTTTCAGCTGCAGGAAAACCCGGAAAAACCTGCAGCACCACATCATCTGAATATCTTGATCTGCCAATGTCCTCTCTTCCGTAAAACAAAATGTAGAGTGCCTCCAGAGGCTCTAATAAATTCAAGACATCGCCATCAGAACACTTAGTGACACGAATATCGTCAAATTTAAATCAGTCCGTATCGTTTTTGACCAATGTGTAATAATTACCAGATTCAACGCCGGAAACACATAATAACTGCATGAAGATTATAATAGTGGTCTGCTAGTTTGAGGTGTTCATCTATTTCGAACCTTCGTAAGAGTTTGGTGCTTCCGTCAGAGGTTGAGTCATGTTTGAAGGAAATCAGTGTCATTATTTGATTGACTGGTGCCTCAGATATACTTGTTTTTTTATAATAGTCAGTTAGTTCGGCGCATGTTTGGCAATACAGTTGATCATCACCCGTTAAAAGTTCCATTTTCAGTTCCAGTTACAGAAGTATCCATAACATGAAATATATTAAAAAATTACCAAGAAACGTGACAGAGCATAAAATATATCACATGATGAGCAAGTCTTGATATTTCATTTGGGTTCCTCAAATGTTGTTTTGGATTTCAATGATAGTGATATTCAATTCTCTAATAACTTTGGCCTTCAAACATTCATTCATTATTGTAATGTAAATTGAATTTCGTTAATGCACGTTGACTGATGTTTGTTGTCACGTGACTCAATACCGGAAAAATTACATTTTTATTCCAATAAAATGTACATCCTTATTCTACTCAATAAATCTTCTTAGGCGAATATGCTACGCACGAACATAAATTCTTTCATTGGAGAAGTAACCCCTTTACAAAGAATCCGACTACTCTATTATGTTTTATCTGATCGAGAGTCGACCGCGCATTCGAAAATGTTTCTTTCATGTGAATTGATTTGTATGATATTTCAGGAACACTGAATGTTTTAGCACGTGACTAACCCGACTACAGAGTTGGAACACGGGTTTCGCACGATCAACTCCAATTCCTTTATAGGGTGAGACGTTGGTAGGGATTATAATTTGATGCATATACGAAGAATATCAACACTTTAGTAACACAAGCACTACAGGAAAACCCTTAAGGCGCTCTCACAGCGGTGCCTGTGCGAAAGTAGCGATTCACATTGGATTTGAATCGCTGGAGACTAAATCCATTTGGAAAAACGTTCTCAGGAAGTTTATTCCACATAAACGCAGTTCTCCAGATTAAAGAGTTCTTAAACAGTGAAGTTCGAGGTGTATTGAGTTGAACCTCAAAACGGTGAGCAGCCACAGTCCGTCGCGTATTTCTGATATGTACCGCTCTTGATGGAATAAAATTTGCCAAGTAACTTGAACACTTCCTATCAAAGTTGTACGTGATGTTAACGTCTCCATTCAGGCCGATGGCTTTTTTCTGGATGGAATCCAACAACTTCAGGGTATGTTTGGGGGCAGAGCTCCATACATATGAGAACAATACTCCAAAGAAGGTCTGATCTGAGCTTTATAAAGCATCAAAAGTTGCTGAGGTGTGTACAGTTTTCTGGTTCGGAACAGTGTGCCAAGTTTTTGAGAGGCAGCCTTTGCAATTTCAGCGACATGATTGTGCCAAGACATTTTGGTGTCCATTTTAACTCCCAACAAACTTTTTGAAGAAGAAAGCGGAATTGTCTGTCTTAACATTATTATATCCGGTTCCGAGAAATTTATCTTCTTGGAGAAAATCGATGCCTGGGTTTTTGTGGCATTGTATTGGACGTGGTTACTTTCATCCTAATTCGAAATCTAGATCCTCATTAATATATGAAACCTCCTGCTGTCGGTGAAGATGTGCCGTAGCCGATGTTCTGGAATACAAATGAAATGACGAGACAAGTGTGCCGTCGTCAGCAAAGCAATATACAGGGTGTAAAATAAATACGTTAAAGTATTCGACGTATTCCTGAGACAATTTTAAGAAAAAAAGTCTATATGAACTTGTATCCGAAAATACTTCGTTTCGGAGATACAGGGTGTTAAAATTGAAATTTTTTGTTCGCTTTTTGAAAATAACTCTTGCAAAAAATAAGTTATTTGCACGAAATTTGGTACGCGGGGTTTTTTTGACGTGGGAAATCATAATTTTGTATTAATTTTCATGTAACATCTAGAGGGCGCTGCGTACGCTGTCATTATTTATTTCAAATTGCCCCAACTTTTTTGACAGTAAACTTTTGGTACTTTTCATGAAAAAAACCTAATTTCCACACATTTTCCAAGTAAAAAAGGTACACCTCTCCAATAACGCTGGAGGTGATCGTTTTCGAAATATTTACAATTTTCTATATCGATGCATATCACTTAGCTCCTAGGGCACTAAGTGAAGTTGCTGAGAACATTACAAAAAAAAAGTATGTGGTGGATCTCGTCAAAATAAACAACTTTTTCCTATGAAATGTTTTGGAAAATTTCAACAATGTGTATTTCGAAAACGAATCATTTTTCGTTAAATATTTTATAGAAAAAAGTTGTTTATTTTGACGAGATCCACCACATACTTAGTTTTCGTAATGTTCTCAGCAACTAGGAGGTAAGTAATATGCATCGATATAAAAAACTGTAAATATCTCGAAAACGATCACCTCCAGCGTTGTTGAGGAGGAGTATCTTTTTTACTTGGAAAAAGTGTGGGAATCAGGTTTTTTCATGAAAAGTACCAAAAGTTTACCGTTAAAAAAGTTAGGGCAATTCGAAATAAATAATGACAGCGTACGAAATTATGATTTCCCAGGTCAAAAAAACCCCGCGTACCGAATTTCGTGCAAAAAACTTATGTTTTGCAAGAGTTATTTTCAAAAAGCGAACAAAAAAATTCAATTTCAACACCCAGTATCTCCGAAACAAAGCATTTTCGGTTCATATGAACATTTTTTCTTAAAATTGTCTCAGAAATATTTCAACGTATTTATGTTACACCCTGTATTGGATTCTTGATTTTTTCCAATAAGTCGTTGATATACAATAAAAAGAGGGTTGGAGGCAATATGGATCCCTGGGGAACACCAGCATTGATGGTGAAGGTATTCGAGAGATATCCATCGACAGCCACTTGCAGGGAACGTTCTTTTAGGAAGCTGAAGAGCTCGAGTTGTTATAACTGTCATTCTTAACGCATTAACTGCAATGCTGATATTTGACAAAGGTTTTGTATTATTATTAGTGGGCGTTCATTGCCTCTTCTTCCTATTCAAATTATCCCATGTGTTTTTGAATTTCTTTTGCCTCTCTATATACTGTTGAATGGTAATTTTGAGTTTTTGTTGTGGCTGGTGGTCAGAGTTTTTGTTCAGGTACCTGTCTGTGTGTATTGGTTTCCTGTACACTCTGTGACCCAATGTACCATCTTCACGTCTGTTCACAAGAATAACCAAGAAGGCAAGAGTCCCTTGGAATTGAACTTCTGGCTTGAGAGACTTTAGATATGATAGAAAATCGTTTCTTGCCTCTTCACCATCTTGCCATACTATGAAGGTGTCATTAACCTAAAGCAAGCAACAATATGGTTCCACGGCCGCTTGCTCTAAGGCCCGTTGTTCGAAATTCTCCACCAGACAATGAACAGCCCATTACAGTACCTTCCGTTTGTTCGTGACAAACACCATCTCACTGCTGAGAACAATTGTTTATAAGGAGAACACGTCGAAGGTCACTAGTATGTCTTCAGTACGCAACTTCATATCTTCACTTTGGAGAATATCTCTAACAGCTCTTACTATTATTCACAACAAAGATTTGGTGTCTTCATAAATCCTCGAATTTTTGAAGAGACTAAGAATCAAAGCTGCTCCTACACTTCAACAAGTATCGGAATAGAAAAAGTCAGGAATTTACGAAATATGCTGTGAGGATTGCGATGAAATGTATGTTGGTCAAACTGAGAGAACTGTAATGACACGCTACAAGGGACATGTATCACATGAAAGGCTACAAGGCTAATCACTGGACATTATCCATTGACACCTGTATGACTCAAGTAAACGATATAATGCAACATACCTTCCAACAGCTCCCCTTCAATAATATAATTAAGGAGCTAAATAATTTCGTTATGCAATAATCATTTCTGATTATATAAGAATCACAACATCTGTATAATATGTATATAAAATAAAAATGTATATAATAAATATTTCGTTCATAAAGGTGAGTGGGAAAGTAGGGATTCAAATAACATCGTGTTCCGATGGCATTTTAGGTTAGTTTCCCAAATTTCTGCTACCGCAGTTGTCGGGTGATTGGTCAAACCACCAACACTGACATAAAAACTTGGCAAATTGACTTGGGTGTCACATCAATAGGTGGTTCCACTTATGTTTCGCTTGACGCAGCTATTTTTATCAAGTACTTTCTTGGTTTTTTCTCATTTTGTCTTCAATCGAGGACCGCCTGCCCGGTACTGACGATGCCCAATAGGCTGAATAGGAATGAATTTCGCAACGTTTCGACAAAATCACGTTTGTCATCGTCTGGCGATTATTTGTAAAGTGTTCGGAAGTCGTCTGACTCTACTCAGATAACTTCTTACTATGCGGGTACAATGATGTTATTACATATATACCGTTCTTGATTGCTTGAATTTGGTCCCTGAATGTTTTGGTACCTCAGTTCTTGTTCTTCTCGAAATGACCTCATCTCTCCGTAAAGGTTTTAAATGTTAATCGAAGGTTTTCACGGACATGAATATGTTGAAATTATTCTTCGGGTTTGTTCCGTGTGGTGTATTGTCATTTCCGATAGGAATGAATTTCGCAACGTTTCGCATTGTTCACCATTGCTATTGGAATCACTACACTGGAAAAAGTATGCGTTGTTATTACACTCGTTATTACACTCATTATTACTTGTCCAAGAGCGCCACATTTTAGACAGATAACAAAAATTTCAAGTAATTATAACTGCGCCAATATCGAAATTCAACAATCAAGTCGCGATCAGTTCTGAACTGAACATTGATGACACGACGGCGATAACCATCCCCGCATTCTCCAATTTCTATTCGTCACCGAATCAGGGCAAATTTCATTTTATGACTCTTCAGCCAATCATGAAACTCGGTTAGTAAAAAATATCCAATACGAATCGCCAATTCTATAGTCCACGTAGATTAGTTCGCAGCCGGTCCATTTCTATGTATTGGTATTTTTGGCCTTCGAGAGTGCCGCAAACTTTAAGTGTGCACAATATCATTTACTTCAACTATACATAATATGGGATGAGAATGCGAGACACTGAATCACGAAAAAGATTTTGATAAACATCTAACACAACAGCTGTACAAACTAGTACAGGGCACAAGATTGTTGGAATGAGATAGAATAAGACTCTGAAGATTTACTCTGTATTCTAATATATTCTCCCAGTGAAATTATGATTTTTACATATAATAAAATTCACCGAACTATGATTTTTACAGAAAGCGAAACTGTTGTAGTTCATCTGGAAATTCATTTCTAGATTCTTGAATTGTATTTGAAAATTCCATCCAGTGACATAGTTAATATAACGACCAAATACTTGAAATTCCAACCGTGACAGAACTAGTCGATTTTAGCATTTACTTATCACTTCCGCAACTGATTAGTGGCCTCAGCACTGACAATTTTGCGTCCATAAGTACAATAGCAAAATAGCTACAAACAATGACGAACTAATTTTGAATAAAAGTATCATGAACAGTGACAACTGTAAAAAAACTGTGAAAGTGCGGTCTAAACAGCACGTTGGAAATGAACCGAGTGAGGAAACGCTAAACAGTGAAATGGACGGTGTTGTGGACGACGAAGAGGTTGATCCTTTCACTAAGAAGAGGAGGGAGTCCTTGAAGAATGACGTGTATGATATCTGTGGCAAGGTTGGTACAATAGTCATATATAAAATTCATATTGTATTAGAATTATGTATACAGTGCATTTCTTTAATGTCCCCCCCTTTTTATTTTTTGAACAGGTCAACTCAAAAAATTTCAATTTGAAAATTGAATTTGGGACAATGAAATTATTACATGAATACTTCATTTTGAAGTGAAATTGACAGTTGAAACTTCCAAGATGGCGAATGACGCCATCTGGGAAAAAAAAATTAAATGAAAAGGGGGGGCCTTGTGATACATCATTTTGAAGCTCCTGACGAATACTTTATGATCCTAGAATATGAAGTCAATATCCTCTCCTATTACAAAATGGCGGAACATTTAATAATTTCCTGAAGACAAACACATTGATATCGATATTTCTACAAATATTCCTCTTTCTCTGCCATATGGAAATTCCAACAACCCGATAAGGTTTGTTAAGTTGTTTTTTGTTTATAAAAACGACAAATAATGTCAATATAACAATGAACATCATTGTTCAGTTAGAATATTCTCATTTATTTTTCGGTTTTACTTGTAGAAAGGTATCACGTCAACAATATCTGAAATGGTCAATTCTCGTCCATTGGAAAAAAAATTGAAGCGATTTTTATTCACGATGCGACGCGTAACTGTCACGAGACCTAAAGGATTTTCAATAAACGTTTTCTGAATCGTCCTATCTGTAAAAATATTTGAGGAAACTTGTATACAAATTCATAACTACCGGTGGTATACATAACAAAAAGTCCCCAGGTCATCCGTCCATTCCGGAAGAACAGCAAGTGCAAATAATTGGTGAGATGGTAGTAAATCCTGAACAGTCTACTTATTCCGTCGATAATATTTGTGTCTACTGCGTGGAGACTTTTGGAGAGGAATAGGTATCATCTATACAAAATGATTTTAGTACACCAATTAACTGAAGATGACCTTGATCGAAGAACAGAATTCTGCGAAATCATGACGGAAACCATTGCAAGGCATTCTACCTATCTCCACAATATTTGCTTTGGTTACGAATGTACATTTTTTCAAATGGCAATGTTCACAGATACAATTTCTGTTATTGGAGTGACACCAAGCCTCAAGTTTTCCGGGAAACACATATCCAATATCCAGAAAAAATTAACGTTTGGGCAGAAATATTAGGAAACCATATTGAAGGACCTCTACTTATTGATCAAAATTTAACAGGGGAACTGTATTTGAATATGCTGGAAACTACTGTTGACCCTCTCATCACTAAAATCGTCGAAGTAAATCCTAATGAATTCGATATGGATATTGTATTCCAACAAGATGGAGCACCACCACATTACTCCAGACAAGTGAGAAACTATTTGGATATTACTTTCTCCGGTCGTTGAATTGGCCGTCAAGGTCCTACAGAATGGCCAGCTCGATAGCCAGATTTGATACTTTAGAACTTTTTTTATGGATCTATTTGAAGTGAAAGGTGTACGAAACTGAACCTGCTTCAATATTGGATATACGGCAGAGAATAATAAATATTTGTAGAGATATTGACGTTACTGCAATAATTAAAAGTTTCACCATTTTGTAGTAGTTGAAGATATTGACGTTATATTCTAGGGTTGTGACGCATTTGTCAGATGGCGCCCAGTCGCCATCTTGAATGTTTCATCTGTCAATTTCACTTCAAAATAAAGTATTCATGCATTAATTTCATTATCCCAAATTGCAATTTTTTGAGTTGACCCGTTCAGAAAATAAAAGGGGGCATTAAAGAAAAGCACTGTAGAATAGGAGAACAAACTCATGTACATATTATTCCACTTGTGAAAATCACATTGTCACATTTAGAAGTGGTTATTTGAAGCATCCTGTGTGGGAATAAATAATGATCAGAGCAGTACATATTACAGTAGTGTTTTCTACGTTATCGTCACTTCACCAGATGAAATTCAGATCTTTGAAGACCAGCTTGATTGCAGTTATTTCATTCAAAGCCTGCATCATTTCCTATTTTTTCGAAAAAAACACTCAGCACCGTAACTTGGAAAACATATCTTGTGAACACAGAAGGGGAGATAGTACCCCACCTTGAGGTCAGACCCTGGTGACCCTGAACCTAATGGCTTCGCCTTGAAGAGTAACAGTTGCAGTTCTGTCTATCAGCATGGCATGGATCAAGCCAGTTATGGTCGATTCTATACCTTTCCTAGCCAGAGGCGATCCTATAGATTTAGGTAGTGCATTGTTGAATGTTTCCTCAATATCAAGAAATACATCAACCGCAATATTCTTGTTGTCAAGGTATTGAGAGATTTTCTCTACAAGGTTGTTTAATGCTGAATCTGTCAACTTGCCGGTTTGATAAGCCTACTGGTGATTATTCAGGAAGGATGCATATAATGCTACCCTCCTGATGTGTCCGTCCAGTATCCTCTCAAGTCCTTTCTACAGGAAGGATGTAAGGCTGACTGGTCGTACCGACTAACTTACTTCATACCTAGTTTTTCCAGTGTATGTTTCTCATTTTAGGCCACGTTTCGTCATAACGGCATGATTGTTTTTGTTCGTTCACGGGTACAAGCCTCTGTTCTTCTGTTTTATCGATATCAACATGAAAAACATCGTATTTTTGTTCATTATGACCCAGGAGCCACTTTTGTCATAACACTTGTTCAAGCTGAAGATCATTAGTCAGGGAATGTATTTCTATAAAGGTTTGGATTTGTGTCATCGGCAAATAGTGAAACCTTTTCTTTGAAATTCACTGAGATCTGTTTGTTGAAAAGTCTCGAATCCAACCCAACAGTAACATCAAAATGATACCTCTTGACTGGGTTATTTTCCTCATCGAGGAAATAACGAGGCATTGTAAATTCAATAAATTTACAATGCCTCTTTTCGTAGACTGATTTTTTCAGTCGATCATATATCGCATTGGTCTGTGATGGGAATTCAAACTCTTCAGGATATAAAAGAAATGGAATTGATCCCTACATGATACCTTTTTTTACGCAAAAATAGCTCCGAAATTGCTTACTTTCTCGAATTGATAATTAATTCTTCAATTCCTTTATTGCAGGTCAGTTTATCTTGTCATGGTAAAAACTTCTTAGGGTAGATTTATCAGTCTGCCATTTCTAAAATTGTATAGTAGAGCGGGCATAATATTTTTGATTGGAGATTGTCAAGTTCCTCAAAAAACAGCCAAGAATCTTACTTATTTCGTACAAAGAATTGAGACAAGGCAATAAATATCTTTTAAGTAGAAATGAGGACATCTCCCATTGGAAAGACGCTATCTATAGGATCTGCAAAAGCACTGCTCATTTTTTAATTATTTTCAAGTACAGACATAAGCACTACAGGAAAATTCTTAAGGCGCTCCCAGAGCGGTCTCTGTGCGAAAATAGCGATTCACGTTGGATTTGAATCGCTGGTGATTGAATTCATTCGAAAAAAACGTTCTCAGGAAGTTTATTCTACATAAAAGCAGTTATACAAATAGAAGAGTTCTAAAACAGTGGAGTTCAAGGTGTACTGAGGTCAACCTCAAAACCATGAGCAGTCACAGTCCGTCGCGTATTTTTTATATGTACCGCTCTTGGTGGAATCAAGTGTGTGCCAAGTCACTCGAATACCTCTATAAAAGAGTGATAAATCTTCAACCTTCGATGTTCCAGACTATCAAGGTTGTAAGTGATACTCGTGTCTTGGATCAGGTGTGAATGGCTCTTTTCTGGATGGAATCCAACAGCTTCAGGGTATGCTTAGGGACGGGGCTACTTACATCAGAATAATACTCCAAAGAAGATCTGATCTGAGCTTTATAAAGTATCCATAAGTCGCTGATTTCTGGTTCGGAAAAGTGTTATAAGCTTTGAGAAATATCCTTTGCAATACCAGCACATGATTGAGCTAAATTGGTGTCCATTCTACCCCCAACAAACTTATCGAAGTAGGAAGCGGAATTGTCTGTACTGACATCATTATGTCCAATTTGGACACATTTATCATTCTGAAGATAACCGATGCCCGGTTTTACGTGGCATTGAATTGATCCTGGTGGGTTAAAAGTCTTCTGTGTAGCCCATAGATGGCGTTTTTTGAAAAAAGATATCATCGCCTCTACTTTACATACGTGGTTCAGCCTAGCACCATTTATGAGACTCACGGCGGATCGAAGCAATGCCCTCTGTTGTTGGATTACAAATGCTTTGTTGTAGGCTCCGTTTTCAACTTAATATCTCATAATTCATTTTTATTTTCATTTCAACCGTTATTCTTCAACCTTCACTGGCCTAACAAAATGTTTTGAAATAATTGATTAGGTTATGCTCCTGGGGGACTCCGGCGTAGGAAAGACCTGCATTCTGATGAGATTTCGAGAGGGGCTTTTTCTCTGCGGGAATTTCATATCGACTGTTGGAGTGGACTTCAGGGTAAGGAACAACAGGTGATGAAATTATGGAGAGTGGGGTGAGTTTGGAACTGATATTGGTTTTTTGATATATAAACTGTCTTGGAATCGTTGGAAATATGTCTAAGCAAATGTTATTTTTTTTTTATGAAGACAGTAGTTAAAACGAACATAGATGAACACATACACTGACATTGACGATAATAATATTTTTTTTACAAAACTAAGGGAATTTGGAATGATGATTCAACATTATTCCAAATTTTTTGGAATGCCCGATAGTGTGAGTGTTTCAGTGTTTTCCAATGAAGTACATAAATAATAAATAATACATTTATTTAAAACAATTTTTCAAACAGAGTTGAAAATTATGAAAAATCATTCCTATGTAACTTCAAATGATAAGAATAAGAATGCATTTATTTACCAAAACAAAACGAACAATTCGCTAAGGAGAACGAATAATCAATTATTACTTTTCTAAAATGAATAAATGGATAAATTTACAATTTCAAAATTCAGAACATACAATTTTATAATTTATAATTTTACAATTTATATCGTTGTTATAGATTATATAATCCTGTATTTAAGCATAAATGCTTGTAGTGCATATTTCTGCACGAGGAAAAGTATTTTTTTCAATGTTTGCAGAAGTGAAAACTGATTGTTTTTATAGGGATTTGAGATTAGTTTGTTTTTTTGTTAAGAAAATATTGGCGAATGAATGATATATGGGTATTTTGAGCAAAATTGAGGGGTGCTGTTTGGTTTAATTTTTTATTTCATTTATTTTATTTCTTTTAGTTCTTTCATTTATAGGTATATTCTATTTTCATTTACCTTTTTTTTATTTCGTATTTCAAGGAACTGTGTTTATATATATTTTTTTATTTGAAGTGATAGTTTGTTATATAGTATCGGACCAATATAAAAGAGGCTGTATTGGGAGTGGTTTTTCTTAAATAGCGGTATATCAATCGATTGGTTAGTGATAAATCTGGTTGAATTGTTGGGATAAATATTTGGTTTTGTTTTTTATGCATATAGAGCAAGCATTGGTGCATATGCAGTTTGTCAATGTTAAAGATGTCAAGGTCTTCATATATTTCGAATTCTGATAGAAATCGAATGGGATTTACTATTTAATACATCTTACATTTTTTACGATAATTTTTGAGATTAATTTCCAAAATCACAAGTGAAATAACACAATTCTCTGGAGTATTCCTAATCGGTCAGTATTTTAACAAAAAAACAAAATGTAGAATCTGAATCGTCTTCCCACTATTATCAGGAATTCAACAGATAGACACATTTCTAACAACAATTTTTGAAAGGTGATTAATTGAAAGGTTGTCATTCTCAAGAGAAGTTTTGTAATTAGTATTTTTCATACAATGATTATATCGACTTAGTTTGATACACTGTATTTTCTGTATTTCGACTTTTTGAACAATCAAAGGTATTTTTTGAATCCATATCATTATTATGATACAATATCGTTGCAATGGACTGGCACTTCAAAATATGGATTGCCAAGTCTTCCATTTTGTGGGTTTCATGTCGACTTATTAATTTTGTAAATATGCTATTCAAGCAGATTATTCAAAAGAGATTCCTACCAAAAGTCATTTTTTTTTCGATTTCATTGAATAATATCTATTCTTCATTTGTTCATGTAGGTATACTGTAACTAATCACTTCATAATTGATGAAGTGTAGCTCATAAAATTCAGTAAATAGAGCTGAATACCTAGAATGCGTTTATAGCAGAAAATCTTTGAACACCCTGTATGTATTCCTATACGATGATCTCTTCCTTTTCAGGATAGAGGTCATGAATAATGTTAATGAAGTAATTTGAATTCAACCTAATAATGCTTGTGCACGAAAATATAGGAGCAGAAAATCAATATTTGCTTGCAATGAAATTATTTTTTCCGAATATTGAAGAAATGCAATATCATTTGCATCTATACATTTTTTTCCCAAAATAGTTGAACAGCTCTTTGTTTGAAGGTGATTGACAATGTTTCATGATGAATTTCATCAGTTCGGACTTCCATTGTCTTATAATTTATAAAATGATTGGAAATTCCTATAAAAATCAGTTTCAAAATCTGTTTTTCCGTTAACCAGCTGTCGCATCCCTATGAACGACAACTCTCAGAAGTCTAAACTTGTGCGAGCTAAGGACTAACGAGGTCTTACCTTTTAACGTGTGATTTCTAACACGGGTTGAACGATAGCAAGTGAAAATCGATTGTTCAGGCTGGGGCTTGAACCGCCGACCAACACGGCGGTCGATTTGAGTGAGTAAATAAAGCACCCACATCGAGCCGACCGGCTACCGACCGAACCAATACAAATTGAAAATCAAAAAGAATATCTGAAAGCAACAATTATATTGAGAGGAATAGAACAATTAAACAAGAAATAAAAATAAAAAAGGGAAAAAATAGAACAGTTAAACAAAAAATAAAAATAAAAAATTAAGAGATACCGAACCAAGTTGTTTCACTTGTGAAGTAACTTGGTTTGGAATCCCATAATTTGTTATTTCAGTTTTTTGTTCAATTATACTATTTTTTACTTGTATTTCATTTCACTGTAATTGTATTTCCGAGTTTCTTTGCTTAATAAAATTGTAACTATCAGATATTCTTTTAAATTTTTAATTGGTATTGTTTCTTTCAGAGATTTTAAATTATTTTATATGTTATTAGACAATGGAAGTCTGAACTGATGAAATTCATCATATACCACCTTCCAAATGATTAATAATCGCTAAAACTTTTGTGTGAAAATTCACCTTCGAACCATCTGAATGTTTCAAACAGAAAAACTAAAATACTGTTGCAGGAGTTTTCCGGAATTCAGCTAATTGAAAAGTTTTCAATTACTAATTCAGTGAAAGGTTTTTCGAGCTATGATATTGTGCACTTTTTTCTAGTAATATGTTTCTTGAGGACATGATGTTCAAACGTATTTTCTCATTTCAGACAAAAGTTGTCGCAGTCGATAACACAAAAGTAAAATTACAAATATGGGACACTGCCGGTCAAGAAAGGTTCAGGAGTGTTACGCATGCGTATTACAGAGATGCCCATGGTGAGTGTAAAATTACCAGGTGAACGTATGTTTTTGTATCTTTTTATGATACGTTTCATAGTTCTCTTATTTCAATTGATAAGTTCCAGTTTCCGGCTTGTATAACCTGAATCATATATACGTCTCGGGAAGTACGTACAGAATGTGATGGAAATTTTGCGTATGGCGAATAGCGTCATATGAACATCATAAAAAGTATGCATTAAAATTGTATCATTACAAACTTGTCATTCACTTATGTAACTAACCACTTCTTGCAATATAAATAACTCTAGAAATTATCGTTAAATTAAACTCCACTGCTTTTTAAACCTTAGTCCTATTACGAAGCAAACGTAAAACGACTCAGGCCACAGACCTTTACAACATATAAATGCAAAAATTTTGACTTAAACCCAAATCTCAGATTTATTGAAACGTATTTAAAAAGTGTCTATAGCATGAAATATACTAGAAGATTCAATGAAAAACATGATAAAATATAGAATGTATGACTTGATTTATCAGTTCGGATAATAAATTGTTTCAGATACTTCAAATGTTTCTTTTTCAATATGGACTAATGACAGTGATGTTCAGACTCACTCATAACTTTGATCTCCAACTATTTGAATAATACTATTTGAATAACATTTCTTAAATTGCAATAACACGTATTTTTATCAAAGCGCAAGATCTTTTCGCGATGCAATGTGTATGTAAAAAAAACTGAAATGATTCTTTCCAAACACGTCCAAAAATGTGGCATGATTATATTTCAGTATCTCTGAGGTAAGAAAAGAAAAGACGAACATTTCTTCCACTATCTCTTGATTATTCATTCGAAACTGCGGTTGTAATCGATATATTGATATTTTTGAGATTGCTCAATTATTGAGGACTCTTTGTTTGAATATTGCGGTCGAGTTGTGGAAATAATGTATGCAAGAGTTCCAGCTCACATATCAAGTTCACGGACAGATTGTCTATATATGGTAGTCAGTGACATATAACTAACTCTAGACGACATACTGCCTAGGCTAAAACTATTGAATTAATTCGATGGTGCCGCAGTTGCAGACGAAACTTTGGTACTGAAGGTTCCATTCGGCCATGTCCTACTAGCCCAGATTTTGTTTTCTTCAATTCAATCCCCATTCACCTCTTTTCATATTCGAGCAAAACAGTCTAACCAATGCCAGTTTTTAACCCGAAATCAATCGGTCCATTAAACAATACAATTGAACAGCTCTTTGTTTGAAGGTGATTGACAATGTTCCATGATGAATTTCATTAGTACGGACTTCCATTGTCTAATATTATATAAACTGATTTGAATACTCAAAATATGGGTTCCCAACCTTTTTGCACCTGCGTTCCAATTGACTCTTTGAGCAATTTTGGCGTACCACCAAACCTAAATATTTTAATAAACGTATAATATTTACTTTTATAAAAGTGTTCAAAGGTTTTTTGAATTGAATTCCTGAGAAAAGTTCATATTTATTGGTTAGATATTTGTTTATTCATACCATGCCTATAATAAAGGATGAATAAAAAGATCGAGATGTTATTAATCAACAATTTCATTTATTACTTTTAGGTCTAAAAACATACAGATAAAAAATTAGAACAAACTCAGCAAAAAATTAATCATCATCTTTAGTGCAAAAGTTGTTGTTTGCCTGTGATTAAAATATCGACATTAACAATAATAGAACTCAAATTTACTCTTTAGTCTTCTTCAACACTTATTCTGCTTCTATGTTAATTTTTTTTATACAAGAGTTCTGAAAATCCACTCTATCTACAATTAACTCATAACAAATGTCATCAAAAATAGCAGAGCTTGCCGGAAGTTCAAAGGGTACCCGGTTTTACATCCGATCCAGAAGTTAATTAAAGATTTCTCTTCAAAATAATCTTTCATGGAACTATTTTCTGTAATATCGTTAAAACTTTCTTTTAGTTCCAACTCATTTGGTGAGGTTCTGAAAAAGAATTTCAGATCCAGTCCACTTTCAAAGGCCTTCCAAGTGAACAATGATATCTGCAACCACATCTGGCATTCAAAAAATGATGATAGAGTGGAAAATGCAGATGAATTCTCCTCCTGTATTTGTGAACAATACAGAACCAACTTTCCTTGGAGGAGTTTATTTTGTCACTGGCTGTGAAGGCTGTTGTGTTTGGTCCCTGAAATCCCAAGTTTAGAGTGTTGAGTTTGTCAAAAATGTCGGATAGATAAACCAATCTTGACAACCATTCTTCATCAGCCAACAGTTTTTTCATGTCATGATTTTTTTCACTTAAAAACATAAAAACTTCTCATCTCAGTTCAAAGAGAAGGTTCAAAATTTTTCCCAGAGATAACCACCTCACTTCTGTATCCAGGAGTGAAGTTTTGAAATTGCCACCCATTTCTTCACACATCAAGGAGAACATTCTTGTGTTTAGAGCCCTAGCCTTTATGAAGTTAATAACATTCACAGCATCTGATAGAACGGAGTTAAGATTATCCGGCATACTTTTAGCAGCTAAAGCTTCTCGATGAATGACACAATGCATACTTTTGCACTCAGGAGCAACTTGCTTAATTTTTGCTGCTAGCCCTGCCAATCGACCTGGCCTAACCTAACCTAACAAAGCTTTTGCCCCATCTGTACACAAGCCAATACACTTGGACCAGCAAATGCCTACTTTGAGCACATATTCATCAACCACCTAAAAATGAGTTTCGCTGTGGTAGTTGATTCAAGTAGTTTGCAGAACAAAAACTCTTTTATCACCTCTTCATTACAATCAAATCGCACGAAAACAAGTAGCTGCGCCATGTTTGTAACATCGGTGCTTTCGTCCACTCGAAGTGCCAAATAAGTGCATTCTTGGAGTTTTGAAGACAACTGTTCAACAATATTATTATACATATTCAATATTATTAGACATATCGACAATTCGAGTCTTCACTGTGTTACTTGAGAGTGATATTTTTTGAATTTTTTTGGCTGCCTTTTCTCCTAACAAGTCTTGGACCATATCCACAGCGACCGGCAGTAAAATCAACTCACCGATTGTGAGAGGCTTTCCATCTTTTACAATTCTTAAACTAGGAAGGTATGACGCCTTAACCAACGAACCATTACAACAACATAAAAACATTGCACAATCACTACCAATATTGTGAGACGGGATAATGCAGGTGTGGGGTGTGGCGTACCACCAGTGGTACGCATACTAACGGTTGGGAACTTCTGCCCTAAAAGAAACGATACAAATGAAAAATTAAAATCAATAGCTGAAAATAAAAAAATTATTTTGAGCAAAAAAACCCTGAAATGAAATAGAACAATTGAACAATAAATAAAAAATAATTTATTTCAAGTTACTTCACGACGTTTCGATTGATAGTATCCCCAATCGTCTTCGAATGATGACTGGCCTTATTCCTCCGAGAGATGACTATTTATGGGTGTTTCACGTATAGTCAGTAGGCATACTTGAAGACTGGCTATAAATCAAATCATCTAAAAGAACTAAGCTGAAGACTACAACAATGATACTCTGACGGAATTCGATTTTCAATTATCGGAAATCATCGACTTTATGTTGATGATATACAATATCTTGCACTGACGAGTGGCCAAACAGCCCGAAACCGGTCTGCAAGTGTGTTCCAATAATTGAAAATCTATTGCGGCAGTTGTATCGCCAACAGCATATGCAGGAATAACTTCAGTGAAGAATCCTGCACTGACACCTGTCGGATATAATCCAACGCCCTTCGCGGTATTAGCCAGGGGAGTAGTTGTTTTCTGATAGGTGTCAGTCCATTAGAGACTGGCCTGAACGAATTGTTCTTTTAGATGATTTTATTTATGGGTGGACTGTTTGGTCATATGTTGCGTATCTCTACGCTAGCTTGGCTGAATACATTGTTGGACAACAAGTATGCGGCTTCTTTGAATTTCCTACTGAACCAGTGTTCTTCCCTGTGTAAGATCTCAGTTTGGGACTACTCCATGGTATGTTGATGGGTCCAAACATGCTCTGCTATTTCTGATTTGCTGGTTTCCCTGAAAAATATTTTCTATGGAAAAAAGAGAATTTGTGCGAAACATGTATGAAGCGAGGAGGAACAATGTGTGAAGGTGACATGTTGATTGGAACCATGAGTACGTTTTGATACAAGAGAAAGGTGAAATTTGCCATAATTTCTCAACAAATCACGTTCTGCTCATCATTTCACTTAAGTACAAATAAACATTCTCAAGTAGTTAACAATTCATAAAATAATCCCGTTTTTTAAACCTGAAAAGAAACTGAAGATTATCTTACTTGGAGACAAATGTCAAAAGATTGACATGTCTCATTTTTTTCACACTCGATAGTCTAAGAGGTCTGTTCAAAAAATAAGACGAATTTTCATGTTTCTTAAAAAATATTCATTTGTTTATCAATTTTCATTTTGTTTCATTCAAAGTAATCCTCCTCATATATAATAGTGCATCAGGAGTTCTTGCCACATGGTCGTACGTTCAATAATGGGTGTTATCTTGAAGTTATGCGCCGCTTGCTACAATCAATACCAAGAAAACTTTCGGTGGAAAAACAATTCATGGATTTTGCATCACAATAATGCACCTGCTCACTCGACATTGTTTGTAATTTTTGGCTAAAAACAACACCGTAATCATGCATCGGCCACCGTATTCACCAGATTTAACCCCCTGCGACGTTCCAAATATTGAAGAAACTCATGAAAGGACGGCGACGATTGAGGAGATGAATACCGAATTGCTGAGAAAGCTCAAGGACATACCGCTTATGCATTATATCTGAGGGGGACTACTTTTTTTGAGAAAAATGAAAATTCACCAGACAGCGCATAAACATGCTTGAAAAATCTATTGTATTCAATTAACACTTTATTGGGAGATTGTCACTGAACAGTTTACTAAACCTCAACACGTGTTTCACTATACGATAGCTTCCTCAGGCGTGTATAAACTCGCTTGAGGAAGCTATGGTATAGTGAAACACGTGTTGCGGTTTTGTGCCTGTTCAGTGAACAACTGAAATACTTACTTCCATACGTTCTGGAGTTTCATTAAGTATTGTGCAATTGCAGTTAGCATCGCATATTGTAATATATGTTCTTAACAAAGGATTCCCAAATTTTTCCAGCACTGCTCCTGCTCTATGACGTGACCAATAAAACAAGCTTCGACAATATTCGAGCGTGGTTGGGGGAGATTCGAGAATACGCACAAGACGATGTCGTCATTATGCTTCTAGGTAAGTGGAAAATTAGTTTCTGATTCGGTTTGGAACTGCATCAACGGTGTTGTCAATGTATAATGAAGTTGTTTTGACAAACCACGAAGCGTAAAGCGGAACGGGGTTTGATTTCTGTCTGGAATTGGCAGGCTCTGATTCCACTAATTGGGAAGCTAAGTGGGACAGAGAATTAGAGATTTGGGTGCAACGGAAGATAATTAACTGTCAAGTGATTATAAAACCGAACTTGATAAGTTGATGTGGAACTTAAAAACGAGTCAGAAACCTGCCATTTTTGTTCGTGAATCTCCGGTTTTCTTATAAACCAAGTATGGTATCAAAAAAAACAAAATATAATAATAATAATAACAGCCGTGTCTACGTGGTAGGAAATCTAAATGTAGAAAAGAGAACTGAAACTATCCATGTTTTTTACCACTTTTATTTGTAACTAACGTTACTGCAGTTTCGTCCTATAAGGACATTTTCAAACTTACATTAAACTAACGATGATTGATTACATTAGCCCTCATATGTAGCACCCTTTTAGGTAATAATAGAGGTACTTGGCTTGATTGAGTACCTAAATTAACAATTCACAATGCGGATGAGCTAATTTGAAAACCGGTGAGTGAACTAAATCGATTTGATCATTTAAGAGGTTGCACCCGCAATGCTCATGCTTGTGAATTTTCAAGGATTTTAAATAATTGAGTTCGTAACCCTTCCTTGTAAAGTACAAAATTTCCATATCGTTTAGATTCGGGAACTTGTGGTTGCATGCCAAGGAATGGTTTGAAAACGTCGAATCATTTTTTCCTAGTCTGAAGGACCTTTCATGTGCTGAAAACCGTTTTTGGAAATTTTGACCACATTGTCCCACATAAACGCTATTACACTCCGGATACTTATAAACTCATAAGCTTATAAACACGAGATTTCTCCAACTTGTCCAGCCTATCTTTGGCATTGAAAAGGAAATCAGATAACCTGGCATGTGATCTGAATGCCACTTCCACATTGTTTTTTCTGAAGAAACCCGCAATTATCTCCGTTGTTTCCAAAATATGTCGGAGTTACCCATTTCTTGATTTCTGGTTGTTTGACCTGAGGGTCTATCAATCTGTAAGTGAATTTACGGCTCTGTTTTCTGACTAACTTCTGGATAGTATCTGCATTGAAACCATTACTATGACCTATCTGTGTAATTATATTAATTTCTCTAGCTAGATTGTTAGCAGACAAACGCAGTGAAAATGCTCTGTGCAACATTGAATTGTAGGCTGCTAATTTATAACTGTCTGGATGGAAAACATTGTTTGGGATGGTGATATCTGTATAACTAGGTTTTCTTAAAACATTGAACTGAAATTTATTCTGATTGTGTGTAATGGTCAGCCCCAAGAAATTTATTTGTTTCTCTATCTCTGTTTCGAGTGTGAACTGAATGGTGCTATTGAGATTATTCATGAATGTCATGAATTGGTTCAGCTGTCGTGTGGTACCTCTGAAACAGGTGAGAATATCGTGTACATATCTGTACCAAAAATGATTTTTTTTTACCCAGGTCGAAATTTACTATAGTGGTCTATAAGTTTGAAAATGTCCTTATAGGACGAAACTGCAGTAACGTTAGTTACAAATAAAAGTGGTGAAAAACATAGAAAGTTTTAATTCTCTTTTCTTCATAATAATAATAAAATTATTAATCCCAAGAAGCATTATACATGTTTATAGTGGAGACAATGAAATATACAAATTGACTAAAAAACATACTGAGAATAGTACAACAAAAAAAAATAATAAAAATATGTAAATATAGGAATGTTGGCTTTCACGGTTGGCATTAATGTTTTCAATGGCTTCCCAAAATGTTGTTCCGTTGCAAACAATGGAAATATTGTTAAACTATGTTTGGATATAACGATGAAAACGAGTTTTTCAATAGTGTTCAAGTTTCCTTGAATATAGCAGTACTAAAATTCCAAGGTCGGTAGAATGTCTCAAGATGGTCAATTTGAAAAAAAAATTAAATGAAAATTCGACGAAAATTTGGCCAGATATTAGCAATTAAAAATTCAAAATGGCGGAAATGTCAAGTATTTTTCAATTTGCTAAAACCGCTGAAATTTTGCACGAATATATTTTATAGTTTTTTTTAATCAAAACAAATGATCGACAAAACTAATGTTTTTTTGCAAAATAGTTCGATTGTTCATAAATAATGGCTAACCAATGGGTTACCTCATGATTTCAAAATGGACTTGAAGAAAATATGGACTTTTATCAGAGTGTCAAGATTTTGAAGTCAATTTAAGCCGCTATTCATCCCCAATCCTGTGCCCTGCCCGGCTTTGAAGCCCTTAAATGAATTGCTTGAAAAACCTACCTATTCGCTGAAAACACCTATTTGCAAAGATTCCATGGCATAGTAGTGTTTTTTTGCCAGCTACAAGGATATGTTAGTGATTAATTATCTTGAAGCATTCACATTCACAAATTTTAGTTTCCAGTAACAGAGTATTTTGTATAGTAATTATTTCATTGAACCTTCACACCATCAGGCAGTTTTTTTGCTCCCCTCACTGAGCTCTTCCAAAGCAGTACTATACAAAATATTTAGCTCTTAGAAATATTAATATGAGAATTGACTCGTTATTGCTAGCTATCCAAAGAAACAGTACGCTACATAGAGATATAGAGATTGTTATACTCAAAATCAATAATTAGTCGATGAAAAAAAAACAATTTTTGTAGCTAGACAACTAGTTCCTTCAAAATCACCTTGTGCAGTTGAAATTTTGCACGGGCTGAACATTGCATTTTGAAAAAACTTCTATATTTTTTGATATTTTGGGAAATAATTTCACGTTTGAATTTTTTAGAATTACCTTTCATGATCATTTTTCATCTCTATTGGATTGACGACAAAGTCAAATTTTGGATAAAGCTGTTTGTCAAATCTTATGATTCGAATAGGACTAGACCTGACTATACACCCTGTATAAATAGATTATCATTGTGCCACGTAGTATCACAATGGGTTTTTTCGTTAACCAACTGATCCAAACGAACCAAAACCTTCAAAAGTCTAAACGAGCTAATGATTAACGAGGTCTTGTCTTTTAACGTACGACTCCCAGTTTATTGAATACACTTGATATTCATATCCCATCGTTTTTGTTCTTCTCAGTTTTTTTTTAATCGGCAGATAATTCTTTGAATATCTCATGAATATGTTTTTAGGAAATAAAGCGGATTGTGGCCACGACAGAACTGTGAGAAGAGAGGACGGGGAAAGGTTGGCGAGGGAATACAATGTGGCTTTCATGGAAACCTCGGCGAAAAGCGGACAAAACGTTGATTTGGCCTTTGTTGCGGTTGCAAGGTGAGTATCAAAGAAATTGGATTGTTTTACAAAGTTTCTGGTCAGTATTCGTCAAGACAATGGCCTCAGAATTAGCTTTGAGAATATCGTCAATTGAGAAAATAAAATCAATATGGAAGTTTTTTCGGGATGAATTGTTTCGTATTGGTATTGACAACACTGAGAAATATGTATACAGGGCGTATATTCAGTTGATCGCACTATTGCTGTCTCGAAAACGGTAAGACCTACAAGGTCAGTTGAATTGAACAAAGGTTTCCTATTTTGGGAAACTTGAATAATCTATTTTCAAGAATATCAGTGATTGTTCTGCTAAAAATAACGGCCTGTATATTTTGTGATCTTAAAAATTAAGAAATTACACAAGTAACACAGGGCAGATCAAATATTTAGCAGTTCACTTGAATGAGTGAAAGTTTTTATTCAACCCGAAATACATCAACTGGGTTTATGTGGATAATTTTAATCTACTTGAAATATAAATTGACGCTATTTCCTTCAATTTTTACCAAATACAGTCAGATACTTTTGTGAGAAAGCGTTTTGGATTCATATTTCCCCTTTATCAAACAGATACTCTGAGAAACTTGTAGTTATTTTTTCTTCTCTGGAAGTTTTTCACACTTTTCGTTTGGGGATGGTGAAGTAGAAAGTCAAAAACTGACCTGTTTCGAAAATATTATTTTTTCAATATGTTTTAAAGTCTCTTCTCGAATAAATTGAATATGTTGAAAAACATTTAGTAAATATTTTCTATGTGAATTGAAAATATGGATATTCAGAAGAGTTAAAACCTCGAATATTCTTGTGAAAACTTGTGAAAAGGTGCTTTTTTTCAAGATCATATTTGTGCCTATATCTGTAGAGTAGAAAGGGTGAGTGTAGCCCACTTAGGCCACATGTGACCCATTGAACATCCTCCCAAGGAGTTGTCCTCCTAGCTCATCGTCCATCCTGTCCTTTCCAGGAAGGTGGACAGGTCACTGCGAGACATATCCTTTATATCGGCAAGTGTAGTTTGGCTAGTTCCGCAATTGTCAAAGTCATTAGGCCGTAGATGTCAAGGGTCCAAAAATTCTTAGTCTGGCCGCTTCCTTCCAGCCGCTTCCTTGGCTAAACAGTCGGCAATGCGATCAACTTTACTCCTGTCATGGCCTTTAATCCACCTCAGGATAATGCTATCATCTACCGAGGCTTTGGCTGAATCTTGGTGGCACTCTAGTCCTAGCCCTGAGGTAACACGTTGTCTGTTAAAGGCTAATAGGGCTTGTCTGCTATCAGTGCAGATGTTTTTGCCAGAAATTCCTTTCATGGTTATTTCTTTTGGTGGCGATTGAGATACCAGCCAGTTATGTTTGAACCACACTGGTATTTTTTCCCATTCCCCACATAATTCTTAGGCTTAGTGATCAGGAGTATACTCCACATCCTGAGCCTTCTTTGATTTTTCAGCCGTCTGTATATATGCTCATTGCATTTGTAGCATCTGACTCTGTGCTCTCTTTTATTTGTATTTTGTAGGGTTTATTAAACACAAACCTGGGTTCAATTGCATCACTGGTTGCCTGCAGCAGAAGTTGAGCAGTGGGCGCCATAGACTCAGCCTCAATTGACTCATTCCTATTTTGAAGTTTACATCAGCCGTGCGCAATCGTAACATGAATATTAACGCAACCTCCTTAACGTACATGTCCAGAGGTGTCAGACCAGTAATTATTTCCATTGCCGCGGTTGGTGTTGTTCTCATGGCTTCTGTGATGTTTAAACAAACCAATCGCTGTATTTGATATAATTTTTGGATGGCCGTTGCTAGTAGAACTTTCGGTCCCCATGCAATTGTCCGTACGTTAACATAGGTATTATTATTGCAGTGTAGATCCAGGTGACCACACGGGGTGAAAGACCCCATGCGCGACCCACCGTCTTTCGACATTATTCATAAGTCACATTTGCTCTCTTTGGTGAGAGTTCCATGTTAGCTTTCTGTCAAGGATAGTACGAAAGTATTTCACCTCTTCAAGTTCAGTTTGGTTTTGAAGATTTCGGGAGGTTTTAAGCCCGATAAACTTCTTTTCCTGGTGAAAAGAACCATCTCAGTCATCTTGGAATTGATCGACAGTGAGTGTTCCTTTCACCATGTTTCTATTAATTTGAGCCCATCCTGCGTTCTATCGCACAGTGTATTCACAAATTTGCCGGTCTACATGATAATTATGTCATCTGCATATGCAATTGTGTAGAATTCATTATTGTTGGTGTGATCAATCAGAGAATATTTTGAGATGAATTTAGTAAATATTTTCTATGTGAATTGAAAATATGGGTAATCAGAAGATTCAAAACTTCGAATATTCAAAGGGTTTTTTGGCTATAAAAACTTGTGGAAAGGTAGCTACTTTCTTCTGAAGACCACATTCTGTGGACATTGATGCTTATCAGACATGTATTTTAACTAAGGCAAAATGCCCATTTTTCTCAATATATATTTACTCCTCCAACTACTTACTACTACACACTCCAAGGTTGATAGACCATGGTACATTTTTCTCCATCTAGTGAAGATATAATCATCGGAACTGAAGTAGGCGCTCTCCCATGGTTGCTGGGTAGTAAACTACGCTCACCAACCAGGAGACGCTGCAGCTGGTTACGGCTTACCCGATCCTTTCAGGTAAGCTGCTTCAGGTTACCTAACCCCTTACGGTAATCTGTCACCTGTTACCTGATCCTCTCAGGTAACATGCTATATGTTACCCGATCCTTTCGAGTTACTTGAACTTCTCAGGTAACCTAGAACTATCCTGTAGCTATCCAAGCTGGAATGTGGAGCTCTGAAATCGTACCTATGGACTATTTTATTCAGCTCCAACGGCATACTGAAGATATTAGAGATATTGAGAAAATCAAGCTGCAAGGTGGATGAATCGTCGTTTGAGCATGATTGTTTGCTGACCTACCCAGGTGGAGATTGTTTCCTCTCCTGATGCAGATTCTGATTTCACTGCATTTGGTTCAAGACAAGACAGGTTTATATAATATTGTGTTCTTAAGGAGGCGATGAATTGCTTTACTTAGTTTGCTTTACTTGAAACTCTCCTGAGTTTCAAGAGGATCAATAGTTGGAACTGAGAAGCTGTTACTCGTGATCCGATGATACAGGAAGGACAGTTGGAGTCATTTGGACGACGTCCTTCTCTGTGAACTGAGTATGATATAAAGATGCTTGAACTTCTCCGTGTTGGGTAAGAACCTGTAATATAGAGATTGGTATTCAATTATGTTTTAGATAAAAAATGTGTCCTGGAAAAAAGTAATGTTAATTTTTGGGCTATAGAGAATAAAACAGTTCAGCAACCATGCAAAGAAGATTTATTTCACGAATTTTTGCCCGAAAATACCTCCTGAATCGACCGGTTTGTCGGCAAATTTTTGCCTTGGGCAAAAAATTACCACATAAGATACTACCATTATTATCATCTATTCGAAAGCTGTATATTTTCTGCATATCACCATTCCTACAATTTATTTCTCAATTCTAATAATTTTCACCTCCATGTAACTCCATTGAAAAGCTTTATGCTAACAACCTTTTGGAAATATTCATTTGGAGTCTATTCAGATATTGATGATCACTTTCACGAGTTTTTATCAAACTCTACAAAAGCCTATTCATACCGAAGGCATCAAACACGTTTCACCATCAATATCAGGATTATCGATAGTCAGTCATTGTGTGTCTAGTATGGGGTATATAATAATTTGCCAAAGCCAGTATACCTTTTGTTCTTTTTAATTTTCGTTTGTTGTATGCATATCCAATCACGCTTCGTTTTCCATTATGAACACTAGATTTGATTCGAAAATGCTTCACGAAATTATTTTCAGAAGCTAGTAATAGCTTTTTATTATATGAGTGTTGAAAGTAAAGTTTTATTTTGTGAGTGAAAAAGTTTCACGAACAAAATAGAACTTAATTTTAACACAAATATCATTCAAAGTTTTTTGTACAACTGTCCTGTTTTCATAATAAAATAGATGAATTTATTATTTCTATAAAAACACCTTTTGACATTTGAATTGAAGGGGTTATATTTTTAGCAGTGACTAATTTTTGAGAAAAAAAGTTTTTGGCTTTCTACTACTCCAACTTGATACAAAAAAAGGATGAGGGAATCTTCCGAAGAGAGGAAGGAAGAAATCAATTTGAAAATAAGTAACTCTATACATGGATGTGTAGATCATGCAAAGAAGTAACTTTCAGACACAAACTGAAAGAAAGTCCTCCTGAAACAGCTACTTTCATATAAACATCAAATTACACGAAACAAAAAAATTCTTTCGAAACAAATAGTTCTATATGAACACTGAATTATACAGAAGATACTTTTCTCTACTCAGTTTGTATTTCAAACATTCGTTGTGAAATAAAAATCAGATATCATTCACATTAGTTCTACTTTGAATGAATGGTAACAAATTGCACTTACATGGAACACTGTCATCCTCACTAGTATACATCACGAGGAGAAGTTATACCGAATAATCTCCAAAATCCCCTAATTTGACCCCACTGGACTTTCTCTATATGGAAATGATCGAAATCGGAAGTCTACGAGACACAGTCAATGATGGATAATTTACGGGAAGAAATTACCAAGTGCTGTAAGTTAATACCACCTGATATTCTTCAGTATGTAATTGAGGAAATAGAAGCTTTGTGTTATATATGTTGTATCGTAATATAACATATATGATACTTGTTTGTCTCATCTCCTATGTTGATCAATAACAAGACCCAAATATTCAATGGATACTGTTCCTTCTATAATAATAATAATATGCTTTATTATCGTAAGACATAATCTTGTAGACAAAGCTTGGGTAGTACATACTTAAAAATGCAATACATACCAACTGAAATTAAAATAAAAATATAAATGGTGCATGGGTACAAACTATGTTAAAATGGAGTATATAAAAGATATGTTTATATAAAAAAGTAAAAGTCAAGTTTATAAAAGGGTAGACATATGAGTAACAACTTAAGAGCTCCTTAATAAGTAAAAATAAAAAATATGCGTAAGTCAGTTGAAAGCTATCGTTAAAATATTCATCCAAAGTATAATGGGGTCTATCAGATAGAAATTGTTTGAATAACTTCCTGAATTGGAAGTCATTGATATTGGCAGATCTTATGTCCATAGGCAAATTATTGTACATTTTTCCACCGTTGTAAAATATGGAGTCTCTGGTAATTTTTTTAGTTGCCACAGTGAGTTTCAGAGTGTGTCTGCAGTTTCGTGTGTTATAATGGGAAGAAGATGCAGCAAAATTCAATATATGCTTATTTACACACACACAGATTCCAGTATATAACTGGGCATTTTGAATTATAACTTTTTGTGCCATTTAACTTCATTAATATGCGGCTGATCGTCTGAATTGAGTGAAGAAGTCATGAATTTTGTTTCTTCCTATATTCAGACTCAATAAATTATTATTCAGCCAGAGAAACCATTTTTTCACGATAATTTCAGAAGTTTTATAGACTTCTTCCTGACTTTTAGCAGTGAAGATCATAACCATATCATCAGCGTAACACACCATATGACCGTAAAATTTATTAATCTACGTTATTGCGTTTGTGTAAGCAAGAAAAAGGATCGGACCAAGTACTGTTCCTTGGGGTGTACCCACGTTGATTTGTAATGCTGAACTGAGTTTGCTGCCAATTTTAACATTTTCTGTTCGTTCTTTTGAATAATTCTGCATTAGTTTCAAAGCATGGCATCCAATATGATAATTTAACAATTTTTCGAGTTTTATGCGACCCAGTATCAAAAGCCTTTGCCAAGTCCATAAATACAGCAAGACATTTGTTCCACGAAGTCGAGCACGGTATTTTCAGTGTTTGATTAGATTATGAACCCGAGTTGTTGTGGAGTTATTATATGTACACTGAAGAAATCTATTTTTGATAGATTTCTGGAATAGTTTTACAAAATTATTGATGAGACAGATGTTGCTAATTACATTTATCATTTTGACTGATTTAAAAACTGGTCTTACTTTACGTGGCTTTTTTTTTTAATTGGAATGCACTGTATGTATTGACTGATTGATAATGATACATTAAACATTTTTTTTTTGCAGAGAACTGAAACACCGACAAAACGGCCAAAAAGACGCCAATACCTTCAACGTGCAGGACTACGTCAGACAACAAACAGAAAAACCTCAATGTCCGCCTTGTTACACTTAGACCGCCAATATGATAATAAAAATGAATTAGTTATTTCCAATACTGATGATATATTGCCTACTAGAGCAGTTTGTGTCTTAAATATCTTGTTTATTTTTTAAAAGAATTCATTATTTATTCATGCATATCTATTAAACATATTGCAATATATTGATAACAAACAATTTGAGGCTTACAGTAATATCAGAAGTAAGTGATTTATTGAATTATGAATACACTGACCCGTCACGTGATGAAAATTAATGACATGATTATAATTATACAATTTTCACACTGAATTTTTTTCAAGACGAATTTGGCTATACGGTACATCAAACTATTATGCAATACCTTCTATTTAACAATAGGTAAGTATTAAACTCAATTAGATAAATGGTAAATTCTGGTAAACAGATAGATATTGAAAAAACGATTTTAATACAATAACACAGGTGAGAACAGGTCATTTATAATTATAATAATTATTATTGACATATTATGAAAACAATAACAATGGCGAGTTGAATAATTTCTTGCTGGTCGTTCGAAAGAAAATTTGAATGTTTGCATCAATTGATTTCCAGAGAATCTAGCAGGTTTCATTTTCTCCATTGTTTTCTTTGTGTTCTTTGTGTAATTGTTTTTTCCAAATTTTCCCTGTTCTACCAGAATCAGTCAATTATCTAATTAAGTCTGACATAAAATGCCAATAATGAACATGTTCATAAATAACCTGTTTTGCCATAATTGTTTATTCACCTAATTAGGTTTCGGCATGAAATTCCAAAAATTGACATATTTATTATTTTTTTGTTTTCCTAAAAGTAATATTATATTGTAATTATTTTTTCAAAATCTAGCTGTCAATCAATTATCTAATTAATTTTTGGCATAAAATGCAAATAAATACCATAATAATGAATTATCTGTTTTTCCAGAAATATTCACCTGCCAAATTAGGTTCTTGCATGGAATGCCAATAATTGACATATTTATAAATTACCTGTTCTCTTAGAAGTAATATTGTATTTTTTTTAATTTTCCTGTTTTGCCAGAATGTATCATTCATCTGATCAGGTTTTGGCATGATATCCAAATGATTAACATATTCATAAATTACCTGTTTTTCTAGAAGTAATATTGTATTGTAATTGTGTTTTCAAAATTTACCTGTTTTGCTAAAATTAATTAACTATCTAATTACGTTTTGGCATAGAATGCCAATAATTAACATATTTATAAATTACCTGTTCTCTTAGAAGAAATATTGTATTTTTTTTTTCAAAATGTTCCCGTTTTGCCAGACTGTATCATTTAAATAATGTGGTTTTGACATAATATGCAAATAATTACCATATTCATGAATTACCTGTTTTGCCAGAATGTATCATTTATCTAATCAGGTTTTGGCATGATATCCAAATGATTAACATATTCATAAATTACCTGTTTTTCTAGAAGTAATATTGTATTGTTATTTTTTTTCGAAATTTACCTGTTTTGCTAAAATTAATTAATTATCTGATTACGTTTTGGCATAGAATGCCAATAATTGAAATATTTATAAATTACCTGTTTTTCTAGAAGTAATATTGTAATTTATTTTCAAAATGTACCCGTTTTATCAGAATGTATCATTTATCTAATGTGGTTTTGGCATAATATGCAAATAATCATCATATTAATGAATTACCTGTTTTTCTAGAAGTATGGTTTTTTCAAAATTTTCCTGTTTTGCCAGAATGTATCATTTACCTAAGCAGGTTTTGACATGATATCCAAATAATTACCATATTCATAAATTACCTGTTTTTCTAGAAGTAATATTGTATTGTCGGTCGGTCGATAGCCAAGCGGTTCGGCATGGGTGCTTTGTTCACTCACTCGAATTGACTGCCGTGTTGGTCGGTGGTTCAAGCCCTAGTCTGAACGAGAAATCTTCACTTGCTACCGTCCAACCCGTGTTAGGAATCACACGTTAAAAGGTAAGACCTCGTTAATCCTTAGCTCGAACAAGTTTCGACTTCTGAGGGTTGTCGTTCGTAGGGGTGCGACAGCTGGTTAACGGAAAAACAGATTTTAAACAGATTTTAAACAGATTGTGATTGTTTCTTCAAAATTCACCTGTTTTGCTGAAATAATTTAATTCTCTAATTACGTTTTGGCATATAATGCAAATAATTAACATATTTATCAAGTATAGCATCAGGACCTGCTTCAGAAACACTATCCGTAGCAGCCTCACGAAACCCAGGCCGCCAAATGCTGACTGCGATTCCAAGAATTGCATTTACCGGATACCCTGCGAGTTCGGAGAATCATACATCGGTGAAACTAAAGGGCCATTGAAAGTTCGCATTGCTGAGCACAAGAAACACACTGTGCGAGGAGAAACCAGCAAATCCGGAATAGCAGAGCATGTTTGGACTCATCAACATAATATCAAGTGGGGTCAAGCTGAAATCATCCACAAAGAGGAACACTGGTTCAGGAGAAAATTCAAAGAAGCCGCGTATATGTTGTTCAACAACGCATTCAGTCAAGCTACCATAGAGATACGTAACATATGGAAACCTCTAATCAAGCGAAAAACGACCAACTCCCGCCAAACGGTCATCTCCCGCTAAAACCAATGAAGCGCAGAGAGGGAAGAGGGGATAGGTGAAAGCACTCGAATGACATATAAATAGTCGGATCTCGGAGGAATAAGTCCAGTTATCACCCGAAGACGATTGTGGATACTAACAATCGAAACGTAGTGACGTAACTTGGTTTGGAATCTTTTAATTTTTATTTTTCATTTTTTGTTAATAATATTTTTTTATTTTCAGCTTTTATAAATATTTCACGATTTTATTTTTTTGGTTGTTGCTTGTATGTTATTTCTTCGTAGTTTCAGTTTTTTTTTTGTTTAATGAAATTGTAATTTTCGGTTAATCTTATTATTAATTTTTTTCAAGAATTCACAATCAATTTATAATATATTACACAATGGAAGTCCGAACTGATGAAATACACCACGAAACATTGTCAACCACCTTCAAACAAATATTTATCTGATTAGATTTTCACATGAAATGCCAATAATTGACATATATATATAAATTACCTGTTCTCCTAAAAGTAATATTGTATTGTAATATTTTTTCCAAAAAATACCTGCTGTGCCAGAAATAATTATTCATTTAATTAAGTTATTTTTAATAAACATATTCATAAATGACCTGTTTTCTCAGAAGTAATAATGTATTGTAATTGATTTTCAAAATCTACATGTTTCACTAGAATCAATCATTCATCTCATTACGTTTTGTAATCACCTACTGTTATACATATGAACGACATTGTGAAATAGTTTGACGTACCATTTATGAAGCTACCGTGTATGGATACACATCTTAAATAAAATGTAGCGTATAAATTGTATAATTATCATCATACATAGTGAACTATTAATTTTTCCAGAAGATGTGAACAAAAAAAAATTAATAACCCTAGTTGATGTAAGATACCGATATGAGCATATTCTGGTATCATAATTTTTCTAGTTTTTGACACCACCTTCTAGATTAGAAATTGAATGTGCTAGTTGTATAACCGGAACAATATAGTATCAACACCAAATCACAAACGTGTGCTTTAATAAAAATTCAAAGTGTTTATAATTTAGAGAATTTATTAAACTGACTGATCTAGATCATATGTACGTATAGATAGGTCATGTGTGATATACATGTATCATTTCTGATCTTTTATTGATAACTCAGAGATTGTACCAAAGTGTAACAATATGGTACTACTTTAAGTTGAATATATAAACAACATTAAGCAATTTATCGATGGTTGATTATTTTTCCACTTTAGAAAAATCCAAAAAATATGAAAGTTGATATTTCTGAATTTTTTAAATTGTGAGCTATATGTCCACTCTTCATTTTTTATTTCTCTCATTGATTTCTCAGAACTGCTGTTGACATAACAATACCTAATTGAAGGGGTGCGATTTATGCTAAAAAGTATCGGAGTTTGGAATCGAAGTTTATCTATAGGTGAACATTTTAGAATTTATGGAAATGTGTATGTATATTATTTGTGAAGATTCAGTCAGGTAGAGGTTGATCAAGAGAAAATTGAGTTGAGAGTGAAGTTTGATTATGGAATAAAAAACTACATAGTAAACATGCAATTCCTCAAGGTTCAATCCTTGACCTAATGCTGCGCTAGTATGTATATCATTTCTTGGTTCACAATTTTTTAGAAATCAGTTTTATAATTACAATTCGAAGGTCAACTATTGTAATCATGAGTTGAGTAAGTATATTTTCTCTCACATCAATTTGAACTGCCTGCTAGTATTTCATATTTCATAGTTATCTATAAAATTAACAAAGCGCCTGAAGCACAATGAAAGTTTTCAGAAATGAATATTGCTACATATGAGAATCCTAATTTGAGAGTCTCGTCACAATGACAGTTATAAAGCAATATATAATTGATAGTGGCTCAATATGTATAAATGAATCCAATTCGGGAATAACATTGTGATGATCATCAATGCAAAACTCAATCACTAATATTAATTATTTGTTGTATGTAAATCTCTTCACAGTGTAAACAGTAGGCATCATTTTTCAAATTACAATTGAATCAACAATTTCAAAACGTGTTCAGACAATTTTCATGTTGTTAGTTGTTTATTTCTGCTATATTCTTGATGTCAATTCTCATGCACTTTCAATGGCCTTGAAGTTTCATCATCATAACTTTTACCTCAAGAGCAAAGTATGTTATCAATGCAATTTTTTGTTTTTCTTCTGTGTTTTTGAGTTTTGAATCTGTGAGTATAGATCTCTGTAAATTTTTTGTTTTGTAAGAAGTTTTGACATAGTATACATTTCTGATTTACTTTCTTTTTTCAGATAAAACATAAGGTATGATGTTAGTTGTGAAATGTGTTGGTTTTTGAATAAGTAATTGTTGAGTTGGTGGTTGTAAGATTGGTGCTGCTCTATGCTGTAATTTGATTGTTGAATGACTGTTTTCTGTTACATTTATTGAAGAGTTTACTAAGGAATCCGAATGCATGCTATATCAGAACAAAATTTATTGATAACACTTCTCTATCGAAACTTTTCGCTGTTTTACCAACCATTTCTGCCTTATTTTCGAGGCAGTTCATTGGACCTTTTTTAATATTTGCTATTAGAACATTTGTATCAATATAATCTGATGACTATCTCAACGTTCAGACCATGTTGTTCCCTATG